AAATTATAGGCAGTCTTGAATTCCGATCTGTAAAGTTCATGTATTGGATTCTATGACGGGTATGTATTGGTTTTTATCTCAGACTAGTTTGAAGAAAAATGCAAATTAATTTGAAAAGTAGAGAGCAATGATAGTGTTTAAATCTGTGTCAAATTAAGTAACTTGACATCACAGTTTAGGGAATGATTGAAGTAGACTGAGAAAGAAGCTGGAAAATTTGTAGAAATTTAACTTAATCCGATCTTAAAAGATAGGCCCTAAATGGGAAGAAAGGCAAGAAATGATAATTAAGCTAAAAAACAGAATTCAGTTATAAAAATTTCAGTTTGTTTTGTAGGGGAAAATAACATCAATCATCCTTGAGATTTAGATCCTGAATATTTTCAGATCTGCAAGATTGTGCTTTCTTTAAAACTTGAGTAAATAGGGCTATACATTTTTCATTGTTCCAAGTGTTTCTGTGTCCATCAAACAGCTGCAGTGAATGCATTAGCCCAGAATATTTGCATTCAAATAAGTGTATTGTAACATTTTTAAATATTTCACATTGCCATTCAAAAATATATTATGCTTATTACATTTTAGATTTAAGATAGACTTTTCAAACCTATGGAATATTTTCCTTAATATATTGGTAATTTCACCTTGTTAATGATGTGAATTGTAAAGAAATTTTGCTGGTTTTTAAAATTTAACTTTACTGTTAATGTCAGAAATCTGTTCTAGTATTATTATCCCTCCACTGATTACATAGTTATAATATATTAGTGTGTTCCATAAAGCATGCTACACGTATGTTATCATTGCACGGAGGCAGTTTTGAACACTGTGAATTTAAAATTTCCCTTCATAAAAGTCATTCATTATCATTTTCTTTGTTGGTAGATTTGAGAATATCTGCTGCTGCTTACAAAGAGCATATTATTCATTTGGCTGGGGCGATCTATATATTTGAATGATCATGTGTGATATCTGTATTTTTAATCTGTCCTCTAATGATTGGTTGCTGTGCCACTCCAGATTCAATCTCAGGTGACTGAAACTCAAATTTAAGCAAAATTTAAAAGCATGTTGGTGGGTGGGTAGAGGATATATGGTGTTATACAACTTAAGACTCCAGGGCTTAATTTCAGTAATAGTGAGATCTAGATGCACAAATGATGCTATCACAACTCTGTGCTCCTTAGCTCTGCTGGATTCAGCTTGATTTTAGACTAAGGCCAGCCATCTTCACTTAGAGGCAAAAGTGCATGCCTAGCATACAGAAGGTTGGTACCCAAAGGATTGGCAATTTTAGCTGGTAGAGCAAGGGGTCTTTTTCTCAAAGCAAAAGGTGCTGGACCAACAAACAAGTAAGAGACACCGTAACAAGCCCCATGTTTGGTCTTGGACACAATTATAGAAGTTTATGAAAACTGTCTGAATTCACATTCATTTTTCTTTACACATTTGTCTTTCTCCTTCAGCTTTTGCAATCCACTGAGATTCTGAAACTCAACTTTTAATTTTTTTGCTAACTCCCATGCTTCCCCAATGCTGAAATCCTATATAGTTTTATCGGCCCAGTGATGAATGGATGGCCTCTAGTTAACTTCTCTACCACTTTTCTCAGTGTCTGAGGTTAGCCCATCAAATTAAGTTAACTGAGCCTTAATGAGGTTACTTATAATGTGAATAACATATTACCAGTCAGGGTTCTCCAGAGAAACAGAATCAATAAGATCTAAAATATATAGAATAAAGTATTGGCTCATAAGATTACGAAGGCTGAGAAGTGCCATGGATCTGCTATCTGCAAGCTGAATATCCAGGAAACCCAGTGGTAGAGTTCAGTTCCAGTTTAAAGGCCTAAGAACCAGGGACTCAGAATTCTCAGTAAGTCTCTCAGCTCAGCAGTCAGGCAGAATGGGCAAATTTTTCTTTCCTCTGCTTTTTGTTCTATTTAAGCCCTCGAGGCACTGGATTATGCCCTTATGCCCTCCCCCTCATCCCCCCATACACACACTGTGAAGAACAATCTCTTTTAATGATTCTACCACTTCAAATGTCAATCTCATCCAGAAATATCCTCACAGATACACCTGAAAATAATGGGTAGCCAAATATCTGAACACCGTGTCAATCCAGTCAAGTTGACACATAAAACTAACCATTAACTATATTAATATAATTTAGTAGTATAATTATTATGTATATATTTGAAATCATTTATAATATAGAGATATTTAAATATTAATACTAGTTCTGTGAAGTTGTTAAATGGAAGTTAAAGCTCCACGTAAACTTTAAGACACTTCATGAATACAAAACATTATTAAATAGGCTCCAGACCATGTAAAATACATGTATTCTATTAGATTGGCTCAGAGAAATTCATAGTCAGATGTTAAATAATGAAATGGGTTTACTATTTTTTGTTACAGAGGTACTTCTATTTTAAAAGTTTGTGTCAAGAAATACAGTTCCTTAGGAATTGATTTCTACTGATATTATAACAATAGCCTCATAAGTAGTCATCCTATAGAGACAGCATAGAATAGTGTGAAGATGATACACTCAGAGCCAAAGGATTCAGATCCTTTTTCACTTGCTAGCTATGTGAATTGGGAGTCACTTAACCATTTTGTTGTAAGTGAGTTATGTATTTAAAAGGCTTAGAATAGTGTCTGATGCATAATAGGTGCCCATAAATAATTTATTGAATGACTATTGTTCTGTGGCAGAGTATGTTAGCACAAAACAAAATATGTAGTGATACTCAGTATAAAGATTTGCTGAGGGAAGAAATGACTGACTTTGAGATAGACATTTGGAGTTGGAGCAGGAGTGTTTAGAGATTACTGTTAACCATGTTGGTCTTAAAAGTTGTATGTTATTGCTGTTTATTAAGAGTTTATTCTCTTAAATATATATTTTTCCTAAAATAGATATATTTCTTCCAGAGTATGTTTGGTCCTAAGCTGAAAAACAAGAGAGTTTGTCACTATTTCCTTCTGTAGATGTTTTATATTTAAGAAAATATAATTATCTGCATTTGATTATAATAGTGTATCTATATTTTACTTTATCCAGTGAAACAAACAAGTAAAACTGTGGGTATAGCACTAATAAATTATTTAAATAGATTCTATTATATAAAGAAATTGTATAGCAAATTTACTGTTCTATAAGAAAATGTAAATTATGTATCCAATTTATTTAGGTGGAATAACAGTTTTAGGGGAAATCACTTATAAAATGTTTTGTTTAAATATTAACATGTACATCAACCAGTAAATATTTTACATTCTTTCAATTATACACACAAAAACACACATACACCCTTAAAAAGAAATACTTCATGTTGAAGAGAAAACCTTATTTGATCACTGTTAGCTCCTAGGTAGACCTATGTTCGCATACTTGTTATATAATCTCATTCTTCAGATAAAAAAAGATGGTTTCGGCTTTCTGAAGCTATTTTCTTATCTGTAGAATCTGGAGGATAATCCTTTTTCAGCTGGTTGCTATGAAGCTTAAGGTAACCAATTGTCTAGGTATGCAGTTGTGCTAAGTGCTAATTCTTTTTACCTCTCACTTACTTGCTTCATTATTTGCTTTATGGTATTTGATGTCTCAGAAAATATGTTTTATATCATGAAATAAAAATAGAGAATACTCCTTTTTAAATTTGATTACATCTTAGTTTAGTATCTTATCAAAAGTACCTAGAATATGCTAAGATTGGCTAAGATTGGCTAATGTTATGGTCTCAAAGAGATTATATAAAATAGTTTATTGTTATGATGTACATGGCTGAATCAAGCTCCTTATCACACCACATACCTGGATTTTCTTTGTTTCCAGGTCACTCTTCCAAACTTACTCTAAAATTATCTATTACCCAGGATAATTCCAAACTTACTCTGGAATTATCCTAGAGGGTCCTAAGAGAAAATATTTGGATAGGTGTAATCCCAAAATGGAAATTGATCAAAGCCAGTTGATTTATTTTAAACAGCCCATGAACATATAGATATGCTTATGAATTGTATTCTGATAACTGAAGCTCTAAGAAGGCTATCAGCTGTTTACATGTGAAAGTGAACTGTTAAACGTTTTTAATTTTTCAGATGTTTTATGATTTTTACCTGGAAATATGCATCATTATTATTTAATTCTTCTTGCTTTAAATTTGTTGAAGGCTATCAGCTATTTACATGTGAAAATGAACTGTTAAACATTTTCAATTTTTCAGATGTTTCATGATTTTTACATGGAAATATGCATCATTATTATTTAATTGTTCTTGCTTTTAATTTGTTGTGTCTTTTGAATAGTGTGAGAATCCAGAAACATTAAACTTAACAGATGATTAGGAAGAAACCTGGTTCCCATTTTCTAAACCAAAATCAGATGCCCTCTTAAGACTCATAGACAATTTATACATTTATTTTAAAACATGTTAACTAATAACTAATAGTCCTAATCTCAATAACATTTTGTATAGCTCTTGCTGGGCAAGTTAATTAAACATTCCATCCTCAATTTCCATACCTGTTTAAATAATACTATTAAAGTTAATATAATATTGATATAATATAACATTATATAAAGTATAATACTAATACCAACAAAGAGGTCATATTAAGTTCTATGAATATGTGACTTACTGATTCTCTTGCAAAATCAATTACACATTCCTTTTTTATTTGAATATGAATATTGAGAGGAAACAGTAATTGCACTTGAACAGCTAAGTTCAATAAAACTTTCTGCAATGATGGAAACATTCCACGCAGCCAACCAGCACTTGCAATGTGACTAGTGTGAAGTGACCAAAGAAATGAATTTTTAAGTTAATTTGAATTAATTTTGATTTAAACTAAAATCACCACCGCTCTAGAGTTAGCAACTCATAAACAAGGTTTTTGAGAAACAGTTGAAATTAAAGATGAAACATAAAATTTATATGTTTGTGCAATGAATTTAAAAGCACTTATTTCACCTTCTCCTTTCAGTCTCCCGCACATAGTTACTCCAGCTATGACTCTGGGAAAAACGAGAGTGTAGACCGAGGCGCTGAGGACCTCTCGCTAAACAGGGGAGATGAGGACGAAGATGACCACGAGGACCATGACGATTCAGAGAAAGTTAATGAGACAGACGGCGTTGAAGCCGAGCGGCTGAAAGCTTTTAATGTGAGTCCTGCCACACACTCCAAGTGTGGTTTAATTTTTGCCACTTCACTTTCATGTTGTTGCTTGTTGGTAAATGTGGATATTTTAGAGACATGTTTGTTTAATTTACAGAAGGATTTAAAAAGTACATGAAACACTCTTTGCCAACCAGACACCAGAATTGCTGTGTTTTGTTTAGAATTTTAAAGCCAAATGTGAGCTGAAAACTGGAGTTGTGTTGTGTGAGTATGCATGTTTACCTAGTGGATGGAGGGGGCCTCAGCTTAGTCCTCGGAAGAGTACGCCCGTCATCTGTTATTTCTTTTTGCTTTCCTAGCTTATCTAATTATGCATGATAAAAGAGTCAATTGTTTGATTTCAGAGATTAGTCCACTGTGCAGTGTAGCAATGTAACAGTCGTATTCATCATTAATAGAGAATGTAATGGGGTGCTCAATTGTCACAGTCTACTGTTATTTCCTGATTTTTTTCTACACGATAGTCTATTCTTTTCTGTATGTTTGTCTGTCTGTCTTGCCTTTCTCTCTCTTTCTCTCTATTTTTTAATCCAACCATTTAGAAAGTCTTTAAAGAGTGTTTGCTTAAAATTTCTGGCTTTCCATTGCAAAGTTCTCCAGTGCATAAACCAGAAAACAGTATTTTCCTATCGGTAATCAAGACAGGAAGCTAGGAACAGAAGAGAGCAGCCCTCCAAACCCTTCTCCTCTGTCTCCCTCTTGCCAACAGATGTTTGTCAGGCTGTTTGTAGATGAAAACTTGGACCGAATGGTCCCAATCTCTAAGCAGCCCAAAGAAAAGATCCAGGCTATCATTGACTCATGCAGGCGACAATTCCCTGAGTATCAAGAGCGTGCCAGAAAACGTATACGTACTTACCTCAAGTCCTGCAGGCGGATGAAAAGAAGTGGTTTTGAGATGGTGAGTTTTGAATTAAAACACAGCCCTAGACTCCATCAAAATCCCACATGTAAACCATGACACTATTTTTTTTCCATCTTAGTGTCTTTTTTTTATTTTTTACCATAATGTCAGGTCAAAGGGGTTTTTGTTTGCTCGTTTGTTTTTTTCCCCTTCTCCTTTTCATCTTCCTGAAGTATTTATTCCCTTCGTTTATTTAATAAGGAACATCTTGTGAGTCCAGTGCTCACAGAACTGCGTGGTACCATGCCACAGAAAATAAGGGTGATATGAGTAAATACCAGTGAGAACCAGTATCTCGTTCATATTTGTTTTCTTTCTGTCACTACTAAAGTGGGCATGAGGTTATTTAAGTTGTGAACTGAAGCACCAGTCACTGCTTGAGATGGCATCTGAGAATGGCATTCTCTAGAACAAAAGGAAATGGATCCATCTAAGGGATATTGTTTTTATATCAATGGTTAACAAATAGCAGGCCTTGAAACTAAAGATCAGAGAATGAAAATGCTCAGGTGAAAGAAATATAAGGATTTGTTGTACTGGATATGTTTGTGTGCTGGTGGATGGTACCATGAGCTTTCATATTCAGGTGGACTTTATAGACAGATGAGATTATGTTGACATTAGATTACTTGATAGGGTGGAGATTAGAAATCAATGATTCTTAAACTTTATTCTATTTCACTTTGCTCTAATTGTTACATCTAGAAATAATGCACACATTTACAATGTATGCTTTGCCCATTTATTTTTTATGTATATGAACAGTTTCAAAATTTTGTGAAACCATTTTTTTTTTCTCTTCTTATCTGAGAAGGCTGCATAAAAGCCTAGGCTGTTAATGTTTGTGATCTGTGAATCTAATTAGGTATAATTGGGTAGGAGCTGGTGTACGTAAGAGAGGTTTCAGAGTATGTCTGTGCCAATTATCTCAAATCATAAAATCTCCACAGCTGGATATAAAAGGCCATGCTTTATGAAAAATAAATCTAATAAAATCTAATGTTTGATCAATAAATACTATATTCGTTTTCTTTAGATTTACTTAACCCAATGAGTTATGTAACTATTAATCTGTAGACAAATATGTCAAGCTGTTATTGAGTCTGTTGGCTTTGATGCTCAAATTCAGCAAATTCTCTGAAGAAAATTTATTGTTCCAGAAAAGAAAGCCTATCTCCAAGGTGTCCTGATCTTAAATTCATAGTAATAGAAAAGGCCATAAAAAGCACAGTGTTATGAACAAGGTAGGATTGGCCCCTATTGAGTATCATCTACAGCAGGTGATATGATTTCTTTTTTGTTTCCTGAATTTGCATTATGAGACTTTCACCATGCTGCATACATGTATTTTTGTAAAAGTCAAATGAAAATATTTAGGGAAGATATCATCTAAGAGACTTTTAGTCCATGAATCCTCTTGTATCCCAAGTTTTGCCACTGTACCAAGTTAAACCAAATAGCCTAGATATTTAAGTTTAATTATCTCAATCTCTTGAAAAATTACCTAGTTAGTTGCTTTTAATATTATGCAATTGACCTTTTTTGTTTGTAGAAATAAATCTCATGCTAGTTTTTGTATTGTCAAGGTCATTGTTTATTAGGCTGCTAAATGTCCATGACGAAAAACCTGATTTCAGACGTTTCTTCTAGAATGTAAAGCAAGAAAACTAATTTTTTTCCCTGAGGAAGTGGAATGTTTTCACATGATCTCAACACCAGGACTGTGAACCTTAATATGTTCACTTTTGTGCCTTACCACGAGACAATTCAGAGCCAAACTCTCTCCAAGTCTTTTTGTTTAATTTATCTTGGTGGAGATAACCTTCCTTGGTGGATTCGATATTTTTTAATGGAAAAAAGGAGATATGAATTTAGACACAAATAAGTAAATAATCTAATTATGAAAGCACCAGAAAGCAAACCTTTCATGTTTAGGAAATAATATATATTTTTTAGAGGATTTGACTTTTCGATCATTTGCTTCTATTTGTCTAACACAGCTCATAGTAGACGGATCAGACTTTGTTTTCAATACATGGTTTCCCTGATATCTTAACCTTTGGAAAAATACAGTGACACTTGCTATTAATTTCTTAACAAATAGTTATTATAAAAATGAATTAAGTGATTCTTTAAACTGAAAATTATATCAAAACTATACCTAGCCTTTCGTATAAGATCTTGATAAAAACTTTATAATACCTGTGTAGCTATGAATATTCTTCATACAATATGAGTACAGCTATGCATTTCTCTCTCTTTGTCACCAATTAACTTAATTGATGCTAATTAACAAACACATTTTATTTGAATTTTCCACTTGCTATTTGAACTAACTCTTGCCCTCTTTCTTGTATTTGTCATTTACCATCCCCCAGGTTATATTCACAGCTCCTAAGATCTTTATTTATAATCTTTATTTTTAATTGCATCCTCTGGTATCCTCCTTAATAATATTGACTTCCTAGCTGATTTCACAGTTCTTTTACCTTTCCACTTCAGGGATCTGGATGTCTATTTCACCTCAGTCTTTATTAGCATGAATATACCTTGGTGTTAGTCATCATTCCAAGAGCCTGAACTAGCAATATTAAAAATTTCAAAATTTTCTAAATGTTCTCAAGTATTTTCTTATGACTTTACAGAGGAAAAGTCTTGTTCTTATTTGCCCTAGAGAAATAAATCTCACATCTCTGCCCCATATAATTCTATCTTCTTCAGAACATTGCTTCATCAACCATCCATACTCTTTTATATGTTCAGTTTTCCATTTTCTCTGAGAGGAACATATAATCTCTTTTTTTCTTAAAAAAAAAGTTATCAGATATCTATATATATATAAATCCATCTCTTACTCTTCTTCTACAATCTAAGTTCATCTTCCTTTGTCAGGTTTCTCGAAAGAGCATTTTATACTCACAGATGATACTATTACCATGAAATTCTTCAGTAGTCCTTCACATTCAGATTATTCAGACTGTGGTTCTCATCACTATGTAGTTAGCCTACAGATCTGCAAGGTCTGTATCTGTGAATTCAGTCAACTGATTGAAAATATATGGGGAAAAAAAGAGGGTTGTGCCTATATTCACCATGTATAAACATTCTTTTCTTGTCATTGTTCCCTAGACAACACAGTATAGCAGCTATTTACATGTCATTTGCATTGTATGAAGATTTATAAGCAAGCTAGAGATGACTTAAAGTATATGAGACAGTGTGCCTAGGTAATAGGCAAATATTACGCCACTTTATTTAAGGGACTTAAGCATCCTCAGAAGTCCTAGAACCAATCCCACACAGATACCAAAGGATGACTCTACTGAATTAGTTTTTATAAAGATCACAGGCTGGGCATGGTGGCTCACATCTGTAATTCCAGCACTGTGGGAGGCCAAGGCAGGCAGATCACAAGGTCAGGAGATTGAGACCACCATGGCTAACACTCTGAAAACCTCATCTCTACTAAAAAATTTAAAAAAAAAATTAGCTGAATGTGGTGGCACGCATCTGTCGTCCCAGGTACTCAGGAGGCTGAGGCAGGAGAATTGCTTGAACCCAGGAGACAGAGGTTGTAGTGAGCCCAGATGGTGCTACTGCACTCCAGCCTGGGTGACAGAGCCAGACTCTGTCTCAACAAAACCAAACAAAAAATCATATGACCACCTTTGCACAAAACTCAAAGATTGTATACTCAACTAAAACAAACTCATTTTCTTGAGACTTGTTTCTATTCCTCCTCATTTACTCTTACCTGCTTTAGGGCAGTTCATACAGTTCTGTGCTTAGCCACGTACTGTTTATTACCCTAACCACATTTGCAAATGTCTGCCCATGTGCACAATATTCTATTCTCTAAGTACAATACCAGAAATCTACAAATCTTTGGTATTTCATTCCGAATGTCAGCCAGACATTAGAGCAATGATAATTATATCACACTGAATTCTTTATATTCTCCAGCACCTATTTTCTCCACTGATATTCCACCTCATTTATCAAGCCACCAGCAAGTTCCTCTTGACTTGCCTACTGTTAATAACACCATCTTGTCATTTATGCCATTGCTCAAAAATGTAGAATGAGATTTTACTGTTTTTGTGTTTTGTATTTTACCACTCACTAAATTCTGCTTATTCTTTCTTTACTCTGTTTCCTAAATAAATCTTATAATTTCTGATTTTATGTGCTATTATTTCAGTTCTAGTCTTTCATACCTCACACCTATACTCTTGTAAAATCCTTCTAACTCAACTCCCTACTTTCATCTTACAGTCTTCACACACACTATGTCTAGGCAGAGGCAGAAATAAGATTTGCAAAAGCTGAAGATTAAATGACTTAAGATCTTTTTGAAAAGAAAAGTAATATACAATTATAAGAAAAAATTAGGTAGAAAAATGAATGTGTATTTACAGTTTAAAAATATACTACAAAAAATGTAGAAATCACTGAAGTCTGGAAGATTAAAATACTTCTTCTAACATCTAACATTGTTAGACAATTTTCAGATGCACTTACATATAAATCCTTCTGGATTTTAAAATGACTTTCCCTTCCTTCCTGGAATGCTTACAGCATCCAAGAACTCCAGTACTCAATAGGCCCATCCAATTGAGGTGTCCTATGCCTTGCTTTATTGGCTTTATGATAAATCTGCTTTTGCCCCTAGAGTAGTCTTCCTCAATTCTGGCTTTGATAGCATGAAACTCTGTCATCTCAGAACAAATTACAAATTTCTTGCTATAATGTTTTAGCATATGACCTTTTGAAACTGAGAGACCTAGCTTCAATTCCTTGCTTAGTTCAATTCCTGTACAAGTGCATTGTTTCTGAGTCTCTTCTAAACGATAGGGCTGTTGGGGTATTATACATGATCATGTATGTATAATGTTTAGCGTATAATGTGGTACCTTTCTACCTGTCCTTCTAATATGTTCAAATTATTTCCTTTCACACCTTGGTTCATCATATGAGACTGCTGCTGCTTTCAATGT